CTGGCGGGTGGACAAGCAGCTCCCTGCGCCGCCTGGCTGCACCCCCCTACGTGCACTCTCTATCCCTGCTCCTGATATGCGACGCCTCCCCGTAACGTCGTGATAGGGCGGGCCAGACGTTCCGCCTGAGACCTCCTCACCACCTATCATCCTGTGAGCGTTTTTTTTTCATTCGGAGTTTCGACATTGGGCGGCAAGGGGGGGGAGGGACGGGTCTGGCTCCAGACCTCTGCTTAATGCGACTGTTTGTAGCAGTGCGGCCTCTGGGGGATACTCCGCCCGCACGAAGCAGGCGCCGAAAAAACAGCAACAATCTACTGCATAGGGGGGGGAGGGGGGGGTTGGAGGGCCCGCGCCGATCGGCAAAACAAGGAATAAACAAACGATCGCCCTCAGGCCTGAAAAGGGAGCAAGAGCTTTACGGATGGATGGCGGGTCGCTTCCAAAATGTGGCTCTCGCCTTCGCGCCGCGCACATTCGTCTCTAAAGAAAGGTGCCAGGGTTTCTCGGACGCAAGGCGGGCCGCTTCCAGAATGTTGCTTTCGCCGTGGCGCCGAGAATGTTCGCCTTACAAGTTTGCAAGAGCTTAAAGTGGAGGAAGAGGAGGAGAAGGGGGAGGAGGAGGAGGAGGAGGAGGAGGAGGAGGAGGAGGGGGAGGAGAAAAAGGAGGAGGGGTGGATGAAGGAAGAGGAAAGTGCGAAACATGAAGGGGAGCACGGTCAGGCGGGGGATGAGGGAGAAAGAGGAGGAAGAGGAGGGGGAGGAGGAGGAGGAGAAGGCGGAGGAGGAGGAGGACGAGGACCAGTGTAAACCCAAGAGCCATCAACGATGTTGGAATTAACCCTCCCTCCAAGCTCCCTCTTCACAGGCCCCTACAATGGTTCACTTCCATTGAGGGAACTGCCTCGTTGGAAGACAACCGTTTGAAGATCCTGAAGCATGCCAAAACATGGTTCTCGTGATTTCAAAGCCACAGATCACCCTGGCTGCTGCGCCTTGACGGTCCGGAATCGTGCCAGAACGCAATTTTGATACCTTCAACCCGCGAATCAACATAACTGTTGCACCCGCATCATCCTGAAACCAAAACCATGTCTGGTACGTTGACCATGGGCATCAGAAACCTTTTTGCAAAAATTTGAAACGAATGTGCGCGGCTCTATTGCGAGAGCCACAGTTTTAAAAGGAGCCGCCCTCAATCCCAGAAGCCCTTGCAAATGTTTGAAATGAATGTGCGCGGCGCTAATGCGAGAATTGCATGTTGAGAAGGAACCGCCCTCAATCCGCGAAACCCTTGCAAATCTATAACACGAAAGTGCGCGGCGCTAAGGCGAGAACCACATCCTGAAAACGACCCACCCTCAATCCGCGAAACACTTGCATATATATATTATATATATATATATATATATAATATATATACATATATAACGAATGTATGCGGCTCTATTGCGAGAGCCACGTCCTGAAAACGACCCACCCTCAATCCGTGAAGCTCTTGCAAATGTTAAACACGAATCTGCGCGGCTCGATTGCGAGAGCCACATGTTGAGAAGGAACCACCCTCAATCCGCGAAACCCTTGCAAATCTATAACACGAAAGTGCGCGGCGCTAAGGCGAGAACCACATCCTGAAAACGACCCACCCTCAATCCGCGAAACACTGGCAAAATATAAAATGAATGTACGCGGCGCTAAGACAAAAACCACATTTCGAAAACAACCGGCCCTCAATCCGTGAAGCCCTTGCAAATCCGCCGATCCGGCGTGTGAGTTTCAAGGAGTCTCAGCTACAGCCTCGAGGCTGAGCTTCAGCCTCTGGGGGGGTCGCCGGGGTGGCTCTGCCGGGGAAGGGGGGGTGGGGGGGGGGGGGGGGTGCGAGTTTCCGGCGAACCCCGGGGCCGCTCCGGGGGAGTGGAAGATAGGGGGGGGGGGGGCGCCATGCTCCGCTTTTTCCGGCGCTTTGGAGGAGGGGGGGGGCCCAAGAGACCCCCAAGGGGTTCCAAGAGGGCCCCGAGTCGCCGAAAAATCGCTCCAAGACGCCCGAGATGGCCTCCAGACGGCCCAAGGTGTCTCCAAGACGCCCCAAGAAGCTTCCAAGAGGCCTCCCAAGAGGGCCCCAAGAGGCCAGAATCGTTGATTTTCATTGGTTTTCTCAGGGTTTTTAGCGTTCTTGCCTTTTCGGGCGTCCGACGCTCGAAGACGGCCCAAGAGGCCCCCAAGTCCGTCCCAAGACGGCCCACGATGCTTCCAACACGGCCCAAGAGAGCCCCAAGACGGCCCAAGAGGGCCCCAAGACGGCCCAAGAGGGCCTCTGGACAGCCCAAGAAGGCCCCAAGAGAGCCCCAAGAGGGGCCCAAGAGGGGGACCACGAACCGAAAGAACCGAGCTTTCCGCCCCAAGAGGCCCCCAGGAGGCCCCAAGAGACCCCCAAGGGGCCCCAAGAAGCCCACAAGAGGCCCAAAAGAGGTTCCAAGAGGCCCCAAAACAGCTCCCCAGAGGCCTCCAGACTGCCTCCGGCAGGCCCCCGGTTTCTTCCGCGGCACCGCCCAGGGCGCCACCGGCAGGATGTCCTCCGTCTCATCGTTTTCCTTCAAGTTATCGCCTCTTCCTCATTCTCCTCCTCCTCCTCTGCGACCTCACTCCTATCCCTCAACGATCGCGTCACCGAGTGCCTCTTCTTTGAAACATCCTCGCTCTTCAAACGCACATCCATACACACATGCATACATACCTACATTTAAACACATTTGCATACATAGAAAAACAATCTTCCAGACATACATACTTACATTCACACACATACACACATATTATCATACACACATACAAACATACATACAAACTAAATACATACATACGCGCACAAGCATACATACATACATACGTACCTACACACAGGCACACATGATCAATGCATGCATACATGCATGCACGCGTACATACACACACATATATCGTGAAACTCACCGCGTGCTCGAAACTTGAGAGAGACCGCGGGAAGTCGAGAGAAGCCGCGGAACGAGGCCTCTACTACTACTACCACTACTACCACAACCACTACTACTACTACTACTACCACTACTACTACTACTACTACTGCTACTACTACTACTACTACTACTACTAATACTACTACTAGTACTACAGGTGCGTTTCCCAACTAGTATGTGTGTGTGGGTGATGCTGTGTGCGCATGTCTGCGGCGCAGGTTAAGTGGTGTGACTGTGTGTGTGCGTTTGAGTGTGCGCCCATAATTTCTGCGTCTGGAGAATAACCCCGAGCGACCCGGATCGGCGGCACTGGCCGAAGGCCACTACAATAATTAAACCGAATGTGCGCGGCGCTAAGGCGAGAGCCACATGCTGAAAACAACCCGCCCTCAATCCGTGAAACTGTTGCAAATGTTCAAAACGAATGTGCGCGGTGCTAGGGATAAAACTACATTTTGAGAACGACACGCCCCCAATGCGTGAAACTTTTTGCAATGCAAATGTTTACAACGAAAGTGCGCCGCGCTACGGCGAGAGCCACATGCTGAAAACCACCCCCCGTCCATCAGTGAAACTGTTGTCACTTTGATATCTTCAGAATCACAAATGGTGAGGAAGTCTCAGGCGAAACGCACGGCCCGCCCTAAACACTGGCCTCGGGGTGCGACAGAGAGAAATTATCTATAAGGAAAAGGAATGGTGGAGGAGGGGAACACGAGGAAGAGAAGCAACAGCAGAAGCAGGAGGAGGATAGGGGAAAAGCAGGATGCAAAGGAAATGCGGGGGAGGAGGAGGAGGAGGAGGATTTAGGAGTGAGGAGCGATGAGGAGCTGAGCTAGGAGCTCAGTCCATACTGCTCCTGCTCCTCCAGAAATCACTTTTCACCTCCTCCTCCTTCTCCTCCTCCTCCTCCTCCTCCTCCTCCTCCTCCGCCTCATCCTCATCCTCATCCTCCTCCTCCTCCTCCTCCTCGCCCTCCTCGTCCTCCTCCTGCAAGGCAAAAGTCAAACCATTTCGGCTCAGAGCATTTTGCCCTGAGTCAGCCCTCGCCTTCCCGTCGGCGCTTGAGGGACACATGGCGGGGCAGAGGTTTCCTTCGCTCCAACAGGTTGACTAAGGAGGGCAGTCCACCTTCTTTTCTCGAGCCATGGGCAAAAAGAAGACGAGTGCAGCGACGGCTCCTGCGCCTGGCACCACCGAGCCGTCCGAGTCGGGGTGGTCCACGTGTCAGCAGTGTGGGCGCCAAGAGTGGAATCGCACTTTATGGAAGCAGCTGCCGATGCCAGGGACAGTATCAGCGGCAAGTTCGAGTACACCTTTGTCCGCATACGTGCAGGCGCTGAGTGTCACTTCCGATCCTGCGATGAAGGCGATCTTCGAAGCACACATCGGCAAGCTGAAGAGCGAGGAGATCCCGCCCGAGAAGTGCGTCACGCCAGAGGAGTCCCTCAGGCGGGCCACTGCCGCGGTGCGGGATGCAGCCACCAAGCACGATCAAGCAGTTTCAGCCCTCCTACGTGCACGCGAGGTGCTGGGCAAGGCCACCGAGCGCGAGGCGTCTGCGGCGCTCGTCCTGGCCAAGGCGGAGAAGTCGAAGCTCCAGGCTGTTCGTGCCCTCGCGGAGCTGAACGGCGTGGTCGCGATGGACTCCAAGGAGAGCCTCCGCACCAACGGGGGCGACGCCAAGAAGCTCACCTCCATCTCTTGGGACGAGGACTTCTTCAGCAAGCTGGGCGCGCTCGAGGTCAGCGAGACCGAGCGGGCAGACCTCAGACAGCTGGAGACCGACCTGAAGGGGGTGCGCGACCTTGTGGGCAGCAAGTCCTCCGAGGTTGAGACCATGCTCGCGCGCGTGGCGAAGATGCAGGAGGACATCATGACTCGCCTGGCTAAGAAACGGCAGGGTCTTGATGGTGAAGCAACGGGCGGCAACGATGGCGGCGGCGCTGGCGCCGAGCCTGGAGGGGCTCGGGCAGGCGGCGAGGGGCGCACGGCGGAGGCCACCGC